GAGCTGATTATCAATTAGGCTCCCTTCTCCATTTTTTATTGATATGATATAATAGTTACTTGCTTGCTTTTAAGCAGCCATCCTTTTCTTCCTTTTTGTTTTTGTTTTCATTGAAATTTTATACAAATTTTTAAAGGAAAAGTTGAAGCTGTGGTTCATATAATAAAGATATGAAAAAGATATCTTATTATAAAGACTAAAGAGTGGGAACTCATCTTTTATCATGGAGCAATTTCTTAAACAAGAAAGAAAACATACTCGAATTGATCAATGAGATGATAAAGCAGAAGAATACATTCTTTTTTTTTCCACAAAGTTGGCTTAAGCTATACAAGTCAAACCTATTCTCTTGATTATTTAGAAGATGAATATGCCTTGTTCAGTTATCTTGCTACTTGCTTATTCCATTTTTCTTCCTTTACTCTTCAGTCATGACTTTCTCATGGATCAACATTAACTTTATGTCTTTGATTTCTTAAGAGCTTTCACAGAAACTTCAATAGTTTATTTATTTCCGAAACAGAGTTCTGACTTATATTACACATATTGGTATCCATGAAAAAAACATCTCTTATGAGCAAAAGAGATGGATATGACACTCTACAAACTAAAACATATTAGAAATAGGAAACAAATGCATGATATAATGACTACACATGAAATTAGTACAGCGGTTGTTTCTTTGATGTAAGTCATGGAAAACTATTACAGTCCTTTGATAACACATATAAACATTCCAATGAATCAAATTCTAATTTAGTCTGCTAAAGACGACGACCACGATGATCTACCATGTTCAAAACTTAGAGGAAATTGATCAATGTCAAAAGAAGACATCTTACTTTCATCTGCATCCATGTTCCATATAGATTCCAAAGAGCTTTCCCATGCTGGAGAAGCCAAAGGAGGGAAATTCAAGTAACAACTTTGCTCTGAGTAATAGATGTCTCTTACCGGTTTAACAATGTTTTCTCCCGATTGATCAATCTCTCTCCATATGTCATCCATCGAGTAGTATCCGTCTTCACATTCTTGATTCATTTTCCCATTGGATCCTCCAGTGTCTTGAGTAGTTGTAGTGGTCATAGATGATGAACCGCAGTTGGAAGATGAGGAAGTTGGAGACTTAGGTCGCTTCTTCTCTTGAGCCTTCTTCCTCATATGAGTCCTCCAGTAATTCTTTATCTCATTATCTGTTCTCCCCGGCAATTTACGGGCTATTTTTGACCACCTTAATATGAAAAACTCAAAAAGTTCATACAAAAAAATTAGGAAGAGTAATTAAAACGTTTTAGGGTTTCTCTGTTTCTTGCAGACTCTTCTGACCTGTTTCCCCATTTGGCGTGAAGCTCGAGGACAAGACGCTCTTCTTGTGGCGTCATCTTACCGCGTTTGAGACCAGGATGCAGGTAATTAACCCACCTTAACCTGCAACTCTTTCCTGTTCTGTTTAAACCTACAACCAAAACCAGGTCATATCTTTAATGGAAGGTCCTTTCCAAAGACCGCCCATTTTTTTTTTTTTTTTCCAAAACAAGCCTATACCTATTCTTATGTTTCTCCCTCCACCTTCAAACCTGAAACTTTTGCTACAAAATCCCATCTTCGATCTCCGAACAAGTGGACAAAGTTGACCAAGAGTATGTCCTCCTGTTCTGTCCACGGTCCTTTACGGTATTCTTCTTGCACAATTTTCA